ATCCACTTTCTACAATATTGCTACAGACTTGTGTATTCTGGCCTTTTCATGATAAATACAATCATAAAATAGGTGACCTTTTACGTCTGGCTTCTTTCCCTTAGCATCATGCTTTCAAGGTTTATCCACATTGCAGCATGTATGAACACTTCATTCCTTTTATGGCGGAATAATATTCCATTGCATGGATATATCACATTTATTCATCAGTCGATGGGACATTTGGGCTGTTTTCACTTTTTGGCTACCTGGATATCCTTCTATACCTCTTGGATTTTTTAAACATGTGAATGTATTCATATTATTTACTTAAAAGAAATATATAAGTTTATAAAATAACCCAAAGGCCACCTCCTCGAAGGGGCCTGCCTTGATCTCCCATCCCTGTTGGCACACCGCCTGTCTCATACGTTTCTTGTTTTGTCTGCCTCCCTCCATCAGAGCAGGGACTGTGTCTGCCTTGTTCACCACTGTCCCCGCAGTGTACAGAGCCATGTCAGCGAGACGTAGGGCAGGGGCTCAGTTAGTATATTTTGAACTAACACATTTTTATCCCAGCGTTACTGGGGAGGAAACACAAGCAGAGAAGCTGAGTTACTGGCTCAAAGTCACAGTGATGGAGCCAGGGTTTAATCCAGCCACGCTGACGCCACGCTCTCCGGCAGTCCACCCTGCAGCTCCACGGCGGGCCGCAGTAGGGCGAGGGGGCCTGGGCAGCTGTATTTTTACAAAGCTCCACAGGGTGACTCTGATGGAGGTGAAGGCAGAAAAATTCCTACTCTAGGTGAGAGAGTCAGAAAATGAAGAATTTGGGTTGTCCTTTAGGGAAGTATTCCAAAATCAAGGAATAATGAAAGTATTGTGGCAAGACGCAAGGACGCTGGGACACTGCTGGGGGCGGCAGAGGCCAGCTGAGTGGCTGCGAGTGAAGGAGGAGGCTCACCTGGAGGTCCTCCTCTGACAGGAGGATGATGCTCGATAGATCTTCCTTCAGCTGCCTGGCCACATTCTTCCACTTCAGCCCTACCCCGCTGTCAGTTTCATCTACACTGAAGGACTCTTGGGAAATCCAGGCCGTGCCTCCGTCTGACACAGAGGGGAAAACACCAGTCAGTCACATTCACTTCAAGTGCTGTTTTCACCTTCTCCCCCCGCACACAGCCCTCAAGCATGTCCGCACATCCTTCCACCTGACCGTTTAGAACCATGTCAAGGCAGAAGGAAGCACCTTTTCTCCAGGACTTACGGGAAAGCCGAGCCCCATCAAGGACCTTCATTTTCCCTGTTTTTCTATCTTCACTTTATTTTTGTATGAAACTGCTCTTTATTCTTTTATGGGAAGAAGCTACTTAAAACCAACGTGTGGTTGTGCACACCCAGATCCCAGCACACTTCCCTTTGGGTTCGTTTTTGTGTCTGGCTGTGTTGTTTTTGGATACAAAAACAAACATTCTATGCCTGTGGATTGGTCTTATCCTTGCTTGCTGTCTATAGGGCCAGCGTACAAAGGTGGCTGGTGGAGCCATTGCCCAAGGGTGACTTCCCCAATTTAGTGGCACGAGGACTTTCCTCAAGACGCTTCTTTAGTTCTTTGATCCTTGCTCATCAATGTTAATTCCTTTTGTATCTCCAGTGATAATGANAAATTTTATTTTTTGTAGCTAAGATACATCACAGAGAAAAATGAAGAGATCGCTCAGGGTAACCAAGAACGAAAAGCAAAGAAGAAAAAGAAGTTGGAGGATGAAAACAATTCAGTGGAGCCAGCAGAGGCTGACGTAGAGGAGAGCGAGACTTAAACTCTGTGGCTGTTGGGAAAAAGCGGCCTTAAGCAGGTAGAACCACCCAAAGTGTGTATCGCCCCAAAGGCAGTTTTGAGGGGCTAAGTGGAGATTTAAAAAAAGGCTAGGAGGCTTTTTGTGCTGTGTTCTCCAAGTCATCAATGGCAGAAGCTAGTTTAAAAGAGAAGTGGAAACAGTTAAGATGCATGCTCCTCTGTCTTCCTGAAGCACATAGAAAAGGCTTGTGTTTGAATGGTGTATATTGGAAATGATATCTGTTGCAATTAATAAAACTATGTTAGCAGTTAAATATGGTTGATTTTTTTCCCAAGGAAAAACCATAGTATTTCTTCATTCTCTTATATAATTTTTCAGGCTGACAATTCCTGAAAGATAAATAATACTCTAGTCACCGAGTTCTTTTGATTGTCAGTGTTTTAAACCCATGTCACTTGTGATCACCAGTAAAAAGGTGGCTGTTGGGAAGTGGTTCTTTTTACTTTTTAAAGGTGGTTTTCTCCAAAAACACACTTTATGTGACTTTTCTCGTGAAAAGGGCCATTTGTAATGAAATGGTGGTTCTACTGGGAAGAAGTTTTGCCTGAGAGGAAAACCTGGCCTCGTACTCCAGACACTGCAGTGTGTTGTCCTCTGTTGCAGTTTGTGAGGGATGGTGTGTCCGAGAGCCCCAGTTCTGCTGGGTTCTCCTTAGGGTTTCTTAGAGGTCCGGGGCATGCCTCTTCCCTGTTGGGGCAATAGGGATAAAGAAACGGAACTGGCATTTATAGCACCCTTTTCTGTGTGCCAGGCACTGGCTGGGTGCTTTGTACAGTGCCTTACCGGATTTTGCCCATTTGTACAGGGTGTATCCGATTCTCCCCATTTTACCGATCAGTAAGCTGAAGCTTGAAGAGCTTAGCCAGCTAGCTGCCCAGGTACTGACTGGTAGAGACTGTGGATGCATTTGGGGTTGCTGACTTACAAGGGGGCGAGAGAGAAAAGGGTGTGCCTTTTGGAGAGAAAGTGTACCCTCCATGCCCAAATATGATCAGCAGAAGACACCCCGAAGTCTGACTCTCAAACGGAGATGCTAAGCTATGGTCATGGTGAAGCCTCACTCAGCCTCTGCAATTAACGAATCACTTCATCTCAGATAATAATTGGGACATTTGTGTCTCACGTCAGTGGAGGAAAAGCCTTCCATCCTTATAGTCCATTCCAGCCAAAGATCTGTACGAGTATGTTGGAAGTTCCATTTTCAGATAAGCTCTCTTTATCTTAGAGACTAAATACTGTGGACTCCCAAAGGTTGACAAATCTGGATTTGCATCTTGCTTTTGCCACTCCAGTAACTGTATGACTTTCTGAAATTGTGTTCTTATCAGTGAAATAGGGTTAAAGAAACCTCACAGCGAGGTTTCATGTGACAGTAAGAGGATGGGGTAGAACCATGATAATGCATCTTATTTTTCTAGATTTCTGTAGTTCCAGAAACTCAGCGCACAAATGACTTGAAACGGTGAAGCTGTGTGCACCATGGGTGTCCTGGCTCTGATGAGAGGGTTGTAGAGCGCCTCTCCCGGTTGGCAAGGGCATTTTGACCTGAGATTTCTAGCCCAGTGAGAACGTTGACTTGATGTTCATGTGATCTTGGTTTATTTGGCACATATGTATGTCCTCTTTGTATTTTAGATGAGTGGTCTTTCATTTTTCAGGGACTGTAATGCAGGTGGTCCAATTTCATAAGGAACAGCTGATCCTACTCCCTGTATTCTCATGAGCTGCCTCTTCCCCACTGCCTCTTCCAGTTAGGGTTTGATTTACTCTGGAATGTGCAAAGTGATGTCACTCATCCTTTACGAGTCTATCCTTGGTGACAGCTGGCAGAAAGGAGCTCTAGGGCTCTTTTTCTCAGAGTTGTGGGAACTCATCTGAACTTTTTAAAAAGATTTTATTGGGGAATTGGGGAGGGGAACATTGTGTTTTTCCAGGACCCATCAGCTCCAAGTCAAANGCCCCGGTTCCGTGCTAACCCTTGCTCTTCAGATCCTCGAGACAGGAGGCCGCCACGCCGTGCTGTTCGAGGCTGCGGTTGCGGCGCAGCAGACACGGCTTTAGAGCCTGATTCTCGCCGGGTTCTGGAGCCCTGGCACCCGGGGCCACTTCCATCCTCTTCAGTGTGGCGCTTGGTTGACTCCGGGAAGTCGGAGAGGCTGGGTGCCAGCGTCCCCCACCCCTACCCGAGGCATGCCGGCAGATGTAGTTCTCTCTGCAGTAAGTCGCCCGTGGGACCAAGGCACGCCTGGAGTTGTAGTTCTAATGGATGCTAATCACGTGTCCCCAACCCCCGGTGCATTCGGGGAGCTGTAGTCTGCGTGTAAAGCCGACTCCGTTACGTCGCGCAATTCAACCTAGGAGTTTTTTTCCTACCTTTTATTTAGGAGTTTCAATCGCGCGTGCAAAATGAGGTCAGTAGGGATTTATTTGCACTATGAAGGACACGCATGTATACTCCCTGGAATTGTTAGAGCAGTCCTATTTGTATATATAAGTGCATAATATCAATACTTAAGTAAAGGTCTGTCGTCCTGTGTTAATTTGTTTTCCCTTTCCAATCTGAAAAGACTTGTAAGATGTCCTATTAGGCTGATTTTGAAGGAAGTAAATTTTAAAAATTGATGAGTGTAGTTTTCAGTCTTGCTGAAAAAGTAAGAGAAGCTTAAGATACTCTCACATTTCCTTTGAATTCCCTGCTTCGGCTGTGCAAATTGGGATGGAACTCTTAACAAAATGCTTAAGTAAATAAGTTAAACATTACCGTCTCAAAGAAATCAGAGAGGAAAAGTGGACATGTGAACCACATCACTGAGATTGTCCAGATGCTACTTGACAATACATTTGTCCTAATTCTGATACTGTCACGGAAAAGTCTTTGTTCCTCATGAAAATCTAATATTTAAGATTAATAAAAAATTATTGAAACAATTCCTCACTTAAAAAGGGGGCATTTTATGTAAACAAGAAATAATTGTCGCCCATATTCAGAGTCAATCCTATTTTGTTTACAGAAATAATGGCGATATCTCATAAGAAAAGGGTAGCCATTTAAAAGTGTTTGGTAGGAGGAACTGTTAATTGAGGCGACACATTTGAGTACTCCATAATAGATCAAAACACAACTAAAATATGAACTGATACTTGTATACAATCCTTTTGCGTAAATTTCACGTGTACACCATCATCTCCAAGAAGCCCCCTCTTCCGTGTTCTCCTAATAGATCTGCACAGTTATTAGACTCCTATCTCCAAGGAGTGTGTGTGTGTGTGTGTGTGTGTGTGTGTGTGTGTGTGTGTGTGTGTGTGTTAGGCCTGGACTTGAAAGCAGGGGTTGAGTCTTGGATTTTTTTATTTATAGCGCCTACCAAAATGCCTGGCAAATAGTAGGCATTCAATAAATGGTACTGAACTGAACTATTAATTTCCAAGTTTCTTCAGTCATTCATTTATTAAATACTTAGCGAGTCCCTACATGTGCCCAAGACTTGTAGGGATGGGCAGAGATTTAATTCATTAAGAATAATACA